AATATCCAATGAAAAAATATTTTTCACAAAGAGAAATTTTTAATATTTTCAAGAGCAACAAAAGGATTCTTCTATTTCTTGTCGAAGAATCCATTATTACATTTGATAGATATATTGTTTCAAAGATCACAAAAGAATATAAATATGTAAAAGCATTTTATCCGCAATTTTTCCAACCCGAGTTACAGCCATTCATTAACGAGAAATGGTTTCCAACCAGAAAAACAGTTTTTTTTGCTCTTAAGGATGATTATGAATATCTTAATGCAATACGGAAAGATTTACCTGACAATTTCTACGAGAATAGAAAAAGAGGTGAAAATCACAACTATATATGTGAATTAATTAGAAGAGATGCTGTTGAAGAGTTTGTTGCATATGTAACAAAGACAAATTATTCACTCGATGCAACAATAGAGGAATCAATATATGAGACACATTCTTTCCTGATCAATAAACAAAAAAGTAAAAATGTGGCTAAAATATTTGTTCCTTTAAGACCAAAAAAATATGACAATTCAAAAGAAATGACATTGATCAAATATGCCGCCTTTTTTGGTTCTATTCAAATTTTTCGTTTTTTGAAAAATAATGGAATCTCATTGACTTCATTCATATGGCCATATGTGATTCATAGTAATAATGCTGATATATTTCACATACTTGAGGAATGTCATGTCCAGCCAGAATACAGTGAAGATGGAAACACATTTAATCAATATTATATAGAAGCAATAAAATGCCATCATAATGATTTCGCTAAATATATAAAGGAGACATATTCATTATTTGCAAATGCTAAAAAATACTTTTTGAATATGATCAAATATCATAATTATGATTTGATTGATTTCGATTCATTTGATAAGTCAATGTTCTTTTATTTTTGTCGATATGGATATACATCTATTGTTTCTGAATTCTTGAAATCAAAAGATATCGATGTTAATATTCTGATTGTTTCTTTGATTAGTTTTTATGCAATTCATCTTTTTGGTTTGTTTTTTTATTTAATTTCAGATTTAAATAATTGAATAACATTCATTTTTTAATCATTTGAATGAAATTTTTTTAAAAAATTGTTTTCAAATTGGGTTTTTTAAAATCAAATTATTTAATACAATTCCAATTAATTTTTGTAAATAGAATTTTTAAAGCATATATTTGATGTATCGCCATTGTATATTGCTATAAAGAAAGGTCATGTTGAAATAGTTAAGCTTTTATTATCCAATGATAATATTGATGTTAATTTACAATTTATTTTTTTTTATTAATTTTTTTAATAGAATTACAATATCAAATTATTGAATTCAATTTCAAAATTTGTCATTTAATTTTATTCAATTTTACTTTTTTGATGCAGTTTTATTTCAAAAAAAATTTTATAATTCTATAAATAAAAATTGAATTCAATTCTATCAAGAATATCATGAAACACCTTTTTATCGTGCTGTTGTAGATGAACAAATTGACATTATTAATCTTTTATTAGCCAAAGATAATACAAATATAAATACCCCAAGCATTTTAATTAAAATGTAATTTATGTAATTAATCAATCAAGTTTTTTTGATCTAATTTCAAAAACAAATTTTTGAATGTAATTAAAAATAAAATCATTTTAATTCTATTCAAAAATTGTCTTGTTTGAATAACATTTAATATTTATTATTCCAATAATATTCTAAATCACTTAATTCACTACAGTTTTATGTTGAAATTATTCGAATGACATTTCTTATTCAATATTTGAAATATAATTTTTCAAATCAAATGTTTTTAAATACAATTCAAATTGTATTATTTAATGAAATTTTATTCAAAGTTTATAAAGCTCCGTTTTGTATTGCATTTGAAAATGGAAATATTGAAATTCTCAAGCTTCTCTTGGACAAAGATAATCTGAATATCAATTTTCGTAATATTCAATTTATGATATTTTTTACAAAATCATTTTTCTTTATAATTCAATAAAATTTTGAACCTCTTTTTTAACAAAATATAAAATCAAAATATATTCAAATTCAGTTCGAAATCAAAGATATTTTTATTTAATTTCAAAATGCAATATTATATGAATGATATTTATGATATTAATAATTTGAATGAGATTCAATAATTTAAATATTTCAATGTAATTCATGTTTTGATTTGTTCATAAAATTTTTAAATTCATATAATTGAATAGCATTCACAATCATATATTTCAATTTAATTTCAATTTTTGTTTAATAAATCAGTTCTTCATTTAGCAATTGAAGATGAAAATATTGAAGTAATAAAATATTTATTTACTAATAATAAGCTTGATATAAATCTTCCATGTGTTTTTATATTTATAATTCTAATGTAATTACAAAATCAAAATATTTTTCATATAGTTCAAATCAAGCATTTTTACCAAATTGAAGATCAAATTTAAACAAGCATTGTTTTTAATGGAATTTATAATATGCTAGAAGGGAAAAACGAAAAGAAGCCAATTCAATTAATTTTAAACTAATTGAAATTTTGAATGGCATTAGCAATTCTGTTTAAAATGAAATTTCTATTTTTCATTTTAATTTAACTCCATTGCAGCTTGCTATTGAAAAAGGGAATCAACAAATTATTCAATTGTTTTTGTCTAAAAATGGCATTTCACCTGATAAGATTAATGTTAATGCAAAATCAATTTTAAATTTAAGTTTCTTTTCATACAATTTTAATATTTCATTTGTTTATAAGATTTTCAATATTCATTTTTAAATGGAATTAATCAATTTTTTGTTAATATAATTATAAAACTTTTGTTTTTCGAAATATAGTTTGAAATGATAATTCAATGCAGTTTATATTTAAAAATTTGATGAAATATCTAATCAATTGTTTAAATGAAATTCATTATTGAATTTTCATTTAGTTTTTAAAATGACTTTTTAAATGAAGTTTTGAAACTTGATAAATTTTTGTCATTTCATTTGAAATTATATCATGCAGTTCAAAAAACTTTTTATTTAATGAAATTTTCGTATCTTTTTTTTATAAAACATTGTTGTATTCAGCAGTTGAGTTGAAAGACATAGAAACGATCAAATTGCTATTAGAAATGCCAGGAATTATGATCAATGAAAAATCAATTTTAATACAATATTTTTTTTTTATTTCATTTAACTTAAATTTTTTAATTTCATTTCCTAATCATATGTTTTTGATTGTGTTTCAACAATAGAATTGTTTCAATTCAGTTCAATTAAACTTTTTAAATGGAATTTTTTTCTCTGTTTTGTAATAATGAACCAATTTTTTTGATTTTTGTCATTTTAATGTTGTTTTGAAATAAAATGATTTAATAAGATTATAATTTGCAGATTTTAATGAGAGAACAGCATTACATTGCGCAGTTGAAATAGGTAATATTGAAATTATTAATCTTCTATTGCAGCAAAAAGGAATTGACGTTAATGCATTAGATGAAATATCAACTTGATTTAAATCAAGTTAAAATTACTTTTTCAGATGATTTTTCAAGGTTATTTGTGGAAAAGGCCAGTTGAATATTCAAGTAGTTCTGAAATAATGAAATTATTCAATCAATGATTTTTTTTTTAAATAAAAAGTTAGATATTAATAAAAAATTGATTATTGAACAAGTTTTGAAGGATTTTTTTTTATTAAATTTTTGAATTGGATGCTACCCAGATTTATCGAATCAATTCATTGAGAATTGAAATTTTGTACTAAATAGATTTCATATTTGATTGCATTGCAATTTTCCTTTATTAAAAAGTGAATATAAAAAGATTCCAATTGCTCAGATGCTTACCTTGATTGTGTCAATTTTTTTTTCTTCAAAAATGAGATTTATATATATATATATATATTAAGGTTTATGATAATTATATTCTCGTGAAACTTTATTTAAAATACTGAAAGATTTTGCATAAATGAAGTAATTGAAATGTTAATCATTTAAATGACATTTTAAATCCAAAACATTCATTGATTTAATAAGTTTTCATAATAATAATAGAGTAAATCAAAAAAAAAAAAAAAAAAAAAAAAAAAAATTGGCTGAAAATTTTGATGTCAAATTTTACATATCAATTCTGCATTGATGCCTCATTATCAAATAAACTTTTGAGGAAAAAATGTTCATTCAATTTTGAAAAATGATGATAACAATATGATAAATCAAAAAAATGAATATCAAATAAAATACATTTTTAATGATAGATTATAATCAATATTTTATTTATAAATAAAATATATATGTTGAATACTATGTTATTTACTACATTTTTCAAAAATTCTAAAATATATGATTTTTAGAAATTATTCTAATTAGAACATGAATATCTTTCATTCAAAATCACCCTTACCTCTTGAATTTCTTTAATAATATTATAATTTTATAAATTAAATGAATAAAATGAAATTAATAGAAAATAATTAATATTGATTGAAAATACAATCTTTTTTAAAATTTTTAAATTATGATTATATACAATTTTTTCTAAGGGTTTTGAAATTTTGAAAGATTTATTCAATTATTTAATTTGGTTTTATTTGTCCAAAAATATGATGTTTTTACTATTTTAAAATAGTATATTAATTCATTATGCGTTTATTTTGTTATTTGATAAGTGAAAATGATAGAAAAGTATTTTATATTTAAAAGATATTATTATTTTAATAGATTAATTTGGTTCTTAATTATATATATATCATAATTTTCATATTTTGAAAAGTTTTTTTAAGGCGGAATGATGAAAAAAAGGCAATTTAAAAAAATGCACTTTTTTCAAATCGAGTCTATATATATAACCATTTTTCCTCAGGTTGAAATGTGATATAAAAAAAGTTGGGGTACAATGGTAATTTCCGTGTTAAATATCTTTTCATTTACCACAATATGTTAAAAATAAATTGCAAAGTTTGTTTTCAAATTAATTGTTTTAGCTTATTATGGCACGTTCTATTTCAGTTTTTCACACTTATAAAGGTGTAAAAATGATGAAGGTTCTGTAGCATAATGATATTGAGTGAGACTCCGGATCTCAAGGCTGGGGGTTCGACTCCTTTCGGCTTCAAAAATTTTTGTTTAGTTTTTCAATGCATTAAGTTCTGAAAAGGAGATAACTTTGGTGCAGCTTTTAAAAAAATGGCAGTTTTCACGGCTCCAAAAAGTTGCATATCTTGATAGATCACGATGAAAATTGATTGGGAATCGTATTTTTCTACCCCACTTTTTGAAAACTTTTTAACTTTTTGAATACTTTTTTTATTCAATTTTTGCTATATAATGCATAATTATAGAGTTAAAATGGCTTCCCGATTCATCAAGCAATTCAAGGAACCCGATTCGGATTCGCGCAGCCCTGTGGTGATCACTGGTGCGTATATACCTGAAAAATCATGTAAAAATAAAAAAATTATATCAAAAAAAGCAAATAGTTATAATTTTAAGGTAAAATTTTAATTTACGATTTTTTTGGTTAATTTTCTTAACAGAGTAAGTCAAATTTCACCTTATAATGGAGGCTTTTGGCTTTCCATGAGTAGCTCATGGAAAGAAAAACCATTCAAAAAGTGGTCTAGAAAAAAACGATTGTCCAAAATTGAATTTAAATCACAAAATTCATTTGAAAAATACTGCTCTTGATGATATTGAAAAAGCTGATATATTTTGTTCACAAATTTATATAATGCCTTTGTAACATTCCAACATAAAGTGCGTGCTTGGAATAATTTTATACAATAATGTTATATACAAAACTTTATTATTCAAGTATTTATCAAACTTTTAAAATTCTGGAAAAAAGTTCGTATTTTCGAGTGATGGTAAATCCGAAAATAAAATGATAAAATAACATTGTATAAATCTACAAAAAAAATATTTATACAGTATAAAGATATTTCATTCGACCATTAATTAAAACAAGGGAGTTTACACACTCTTTGACAAAATATAAAATGAAAAATGAATATAAAATAGTATTTTTATAGGGTGTCCGATAAGTTTCCGGACTCTCTATACTAGAATTATTACTTCTAAATTAATATTTTTTTTTTAATCAAAATCATTGAGAGCATGTTAAGTTAAATGACATTTTCTGGATAATTAATTAATATTTTTTTTTAATCAAAATCATTGAGAGCATGTTAAGTTAAATGACATTTTCTGATCAAACATGGCATTTCACCTTTTTCTGTTATATTTTCGGTTACAGATATTAAAAAAAGTTTTTTGTTATACCAACATCTACAATACAAAGAAAATTAAAGCATAGCATTTTAAAAATGATATATATTTGTTTAATCACCTGTTTTAATCAAATTTAATGCAAAAATTTGAAAATTTTGGAATTGAATAAATTTGACAAATCAAAAAATTAAATAAAATGCATTTTTTCGTAGATACCTACAAGTTATTACAAATATTTTTATATATAATTACTTAATATTATACAAATATTATGGTTAAGTTTATAAATAAAAATTAAATTAAAAGACCTATGTTTTATAAGATCAATAAAGTATTTTATGCCATTGATGAAAATGAGCAATCAGCGCTTTTCGTTAATCCATTAAATTAAAAAATATCATATTTATTAATAATTAAGATGATATTAAAACATTTTATTTAGTTTTGGTTTAATATAAATAAAGGTTATAGGTGATACATTAAAAAATAATAAACGTCATTTTTTTTTTTTTTTTTTTTTTTTTTTTTTTTTTTTAAAGAAAAAAGCATCAATTTTTCATTTTTCAAAATACATATGATTTTCAAACTCGGATACAAACTCCAGACTCTGGAAATTTTTCGGACACCCTATATTATTTAATATGTCGTGATTTCTACAATTGATGGCAATGAGAGACTCTCTTGATCAATAAATGATGGAATTGATATTTGTGTTAATGATGAACATTCATAGAAAGCAGAATATCCAATTGAAGTTACAGATGATGGAATTGATATTTGTGTTAAATTGGTATTTTTACTGAAAAATTTATAGAATATTTCATTTTCTTTTAATAATAAAAAATAAATAACTTCAACATCATTTTTCTTTGCTGCTTTTTGTAATGCTGTTATATAAAAAAATGATAAAACATTGAAAAAAATCGATGTTGGTGAATGTCATAAAAATATTCAATATTTGAAATATCATTAAATATTCATTTATCGAACTGATTTAAAACATTTTATGAAGTTATCTTATTGAATTGTGGTTGCTGAAATTGGTTCTTCATTAAAATATTTGTGAATAGAATAATTTTCATTTTGATTTCTTCTTCTTTCTCTTTCAATAAAAGGTTGAAAAGTTCGTTATATTTATAGAGGTGCAAATAGAAGAATCCATGTTCTTTGATAGTTTTTGTTTCAAAATAATAGTAATTATGATGTTTTATACAATTAGCTATAATCGCTTCTTTTCGTTTTGAATTTTTTTCTTCTGAAACGGGAAAGTATTTTGAATGTACTCAGCAAAATCGTTGTGATGGCATTTAATTGATTCAATAAGGCATCTCAAATATTCGTCACTTGGATCGTTGAATTATTCTTCATTTTCGTTATCGAATTTTGGTGGAAAAACATTCTTCGTTTCAAGAATATGAATCAGTTCTGCATTTTTTGAATGAATCACATAAAGCCACAGCGATGCTCTCAATTCAACTTCACTCATCATCAAATATTGAAAAATTTGAATCGATCCAAAGAAAGCTGAATATTCAATCAGTGTCGTATTCTTTCCTTCCAGTAAGAATGAATTGGTCTCAAAAATTGATGGTACAATTTGGCTTGAAAGTGAATAGTTACTGCGAGTCACATATGAAATGAATTCTTCAACTGAATCCTTCCGTATCATTGAGCAAATGTGCGAGTCATTCTCGCCTTCTTCGCGTTTCATGTCATAGTTGTCAAATATATTTGATGACTCATTTAAAAGTTCGTTTTTAACAGATTTCATTTTCTCTGCTCCTAAAAATTCTTCCAGCTCGGGATAGAAAAAGTGACAGTAACGGTTACCGTTAGGTTCGTATTTAGTCAGCATCGATTCACAAATATTGTCTGTTAGTCTTATGACATCATTCCTCAATAGAAAATGAACGAGTATTTTGTTGTCTTCAAAAATATAGAAGATTTCTTCATTTGACAAGGTCTGTTTGATTTGATGTTTATAGTGAAGAAGAAGTTGTTTAGTTCAGGTGATGAAACTTGTATCACGGTGGTGTTCGTCACAAATATTTTTGATGATTCGCAAAAACTCTTCAATATTTTCAAAAGATCCATCTTTGTCTTCCTGTTTGAGATTTGGAGAGAATCTTTCAAAATACTCGTCATCTGTTGTGTCGTCGAAATTCTCATCTGAATTTTCAAGAAATTCGAGAATGGTAGTGTAAAGCTTTTTCTTATCAGCGATATAGCTTTTCATTATTTGCAGAGGGAAACAAAAAAAAAGTTATTTTTTATAATTTTATTGAAAAAGTTTAAAATTTTAACGTTTACACTTTTTCAATTATTTATAATAATTTATATAATTTATTTTTTTTATTCATTTAAAAAGTTACACATCAATATGTTTTATTCACAAAAAGTTAAATATACAGTTGAATTGAATAAAGTTAAAATTTTTACATAAAATAAAAATATCTTAATATTATTCATGTACAATAATATTTATATCCTAATTATAAGTTAAATATTTAGTATTGTTTATTTTAAAATATTAAATTTTGCTGTATAACAAATTGGAATTTAATTTAATTCTTCTTAAAATAGATCTTGATTGAAAATGAAAGCATATAAATATATGACATAGAGTAAAGATTAATAAGATATTTTAATAAGAGATACTATTTTATAAAAACGAAAAAAACTCTTATGAACTTTTTCAATCATTAACTGTTTTTGTTTTTGAATAGAACGGTAAGTATTTTCAATCTCTTTGGTCCAATTTTAAACATTAAGGTCGTAAAGAAGCATTTCTGTGATCTTAATATAATTATATTCAAGTTAAGCTTTCTAATACCAGATAGTTTTTATTAGATTTATTTTCGAAGACTACTAATCTCAAATTGTTATTCCCAAATTGATATAATTATACCTCTTGCTTTTTTGCTTCTGAAAAAAGTAATTAATATTTCAGCTAATGCAGTGGCAAAAATGATCAAGAATCATTTCAGATAATTTGTTGGTTAAAATCAAGAATGAATTAAGTTGCTGAATCAACTAGTAATGCTGCATTGGATGGAAAAACATTAATTCCAAATTCAATTTCGGATAAGGAACGTTCAAAATTTACAAATTCGAGTGATCTGCACAAACCGAAAGCACTTGTATCAATTTTGGTGACAGATGAAGGAATTGTTATTCTCCATAATGATAAGCATTCACAAAAGCATTGATCTCCAATTGAAGATAAAAAAGGTGGAAGTTCTATTTATTCTAACGAAAAGCATCTTCCAAAAGCTTAATCTCCAATTGAAATGAAGACTTTGTAAATTGATCTGATTTTAATTTAGAGGAATCTTGGGTTACTGTCAGGTTTCGAAGATGAGCATGAATAAAAAAGTTCGACTGAATGAGTAAACTCAGATGATTTGGTGAATTTGTCAGATTTACTGAAAAAAACAAAGATGATGAAAAATCTGATGTTCTTGAAAATTCTGCTGATTTGGTAAAGTTTGATGAATCAGAAAAGGTTGATAAATATGGAAAAAGGAGAGAACTAGAAAAGTCAAATGATCTTGTAAAGAGAATCTTTTTTTGAAAATATTCTGGACATTGAAAATTTAATAGATCAGAGCTGCCTTAAAATATAGATTGTCATTAATGACAAGTTTAGGAGTGAAATTGTCTTGTCAATTTCTAGATAATTTTGAAACAATTATTAATAATCTGAATTTGATGTAACTCTTTATTTTTTGGGAAATTGTCATTGATTTATAATTCTTATTTGCTATATAAATGTTTTTAGAAATCAACATTATTGTTTCAATGTTAGAAAAAAATATGATTTGACTCTATGCAGAATATTCGCACATGTAAATATATACATAATTTGATGGATAAAAGAAAAAA